AGAGGAGCCTGTTCTATAATCGATAACCCACGATACACCCGACCACTTCTTGCCAAGGCAGCCTACATACTTCGCTTCTTGTCCAGAGGGGGCTGGTGGCAGGAGGTGGATGAGGAGTACGGCGATTCGGGTTTCGTCTCATCTTGGAGGGAGGGGGAAATGCTTTCAGCGAGAAGCTCTCGCAGACGTTGTGGGCACTTAGAGAACAGCCTCTCTCCTACCTTGTGATGCTGAACAGTGGAGGTTTCTAGGAGATTGAGATTCAGGCCCCTGTTAAAGGAAAACTTGGGGTTGTTTTCCATAGCAATGAGAGGGTGACCACAGGGGGCCTTGGCTGCTTGTCCCCACTGGAGGAAGTGCCTAGGACACTGAGCTTCTCCTCACGAAGGAAAGACCCTGCTGGGACTCCTCGCTGGCCTCTCCCTGCCAGGGGAATTTGCACCTAAGAGCAGGAAGCAGCAGAGGGTTTGTTCAGCATGTCTGTGCCCTGCCACCTGAGCCCCACTGAGGAGCAGAAGGTCCCACCAGCCGTGCTGGTGTCACAGCTCCATGGTTATAGCACTAGCCTGAGGACTTGGGCCTCAGGAGCTCTCTGCTGAATTAAGAGATGGGATTTAGCCTCCCTGTCCTTACAGTACATATTTGTTTAGGGTTGCACAGGTTTCTGAGGCCCACTGAAATGCACTAAAATGCCAGCCAGAAAAGTAATGCTTTGAATAGGAATGCCCAAGCCACATCTGCTGCATGAACCTGGGGGAGTCATTTCACCTTTTGGTGCCTCAGTTTCATGGTATAAATAATGGAGGTAACAGTGCTAATGCCATTCGAGGACTGAAAATTTGAAGATTTCTGTTTCCTTGAATTCCCAGAAAAGCAGAGTCATATATAACATCAATATTTTCTACTTGTCACAGTTTGAGTTATTTTTGTGGTCTCCTTCAGGCATCCTTGAACGTTTTTGTGCACGTGCATTTGTAAGTGTGTGAGTGCCTGTCTCTGCAATGCAGATCAGGACATAATATGAACTCATCTTAAAACCCACTGTCCTGGTCCTTGGACTCCAAGTACTTAAGTTTCTGTAATTACAGAATGACACGATAAAGTGTGGAAGAACATAAACTTGCAAATCAGATGCTCAGAAGTCAGTTCATTCCCTCTGTTCTGCTGACAAAGGAAAACACAGAGGAAGGCTGAGCCTCCAACCACAGGCATCAGCAGAACTCAAAGAATATATGAAGAATTGCCTTGGACCTAACCCCACTTAGCTCTCATTTCATGCACTGGGATGGTTTCCAAAATTATCTCACCCGCTTTCTCCCTTGTAAAGCCTACAAACGTTTGATTCCCTGAGTGAAGCCAGAGGGATCACAAGGCCTGAGTCTGATCCCCAGGCTGAGCTGGAGAAGAGCCTCCTCTCTCCAGATCTAAGCAGCCGTGGTCAATAACAAATAAATCTTGATACCTGTATCACAACTAGGGCTCTACTATAGACAACCACAGTAAATGAGGGAAATTGAAAAAAATGCAGATAAAAAGATTGTTTCACTCACTGAGGAAAGGGTTATGTAGAAACTCTGTTTATGTTGGGATCTGCAGGCATAGTGACAAGTAAATCTACATCCTTTGGTCTGCATATTCCCTGACTTTTAAGTGCTTTTGGCTGTGAACATCATATTTTACATGGGAGTTAGAGAGTGGGGGAAGCAGATATGCAGCTATATAAGATTGGTAAAATATTTAAGTGAGTTGAAAGAAAAGACTATCAGGAAATTGTAGGGAGTTGGTATGATCTCATTACACTGCATTTATGAGGCCAGTATTAAATGTGCCGTATCCTGGTGGTTTATGTCTTTTTAAAAAAAACAACAACAAAACATTGGAAGATTAGAAAAGAGCCATGTGAATGATTTAAGAGCTGAGAAATGCAACATAACTCTACTTGTATCACCATGCAGTCCAAGAAGAGGCCAAAGCCCACATATATAGGGGACATTTCTGATAGCATAGTGGAAGCTTTTAATAAAAAAGGCAAGAGGAGACTGAGGAAGTGGCAGCTTAAGCTGGAGGTATTCAGACAACAAGAACAATGTAAACATGTTCCCACAATGGAAATTAAGCATTGAAGCTGACTTTGTGGGAATGGGCTGGAAATCAGTCACTCCATGTCCGTAAATGAAGCTGTGTATTTTCCTGTGAGATGTGCTGTAAAATACAGCTTATGGTTAACAGGTGAAAGTCTTCTGGTGCGCAAAGTGTTATGCAGGTGAGAGTAGATAATGGACATGTACCTGTCAGCCTGCACATCTGTGAGAATCTCCTTTCTCCCATTTATGGGATGTACTATGTATGGGATGTTTCATGGGAGGGGGGGCAGATCATGCAGTCCTAATTTGCCTCAGGGCCAGAAAGAGGCCAGCATCAGAGCCAAAACTTGTCAGCAGCTCAACGCCTGGACTTGCGGGTTGACTCTTCTCCCTTTGAACTAGCAGCAGGTCAAAGAATACAGGTTAGAATTGCTTCTGAACTCCCTGAACCTCCAGTGTCCACAAAACTGCAGAGATCCCTGAAATTTCCTGCCATATGTATCATAACCTCTATCTGGGGAATTTCAGGCTGACCCAGAGACTACGCTGAAGTGTCCTTGTTGTGGCACTTGCTGTTGACTTTACATGGACCAGGCAAAGCAAAATGTCAGTTTAGCTTTTTTTACTCCCGGAAAGGATCCAGGTGAGTGCTTGAAAACCAGAGTTAGCCCTTCATCTTCCAGAGGGTGGGCTGTCTCTGCGACAGAGGTGACAAATGGCACCACTGAACAGCAACAGTTTCTCGTCCTTAAGAGATCACATAATATACCAGGAAAGGTAAGCAGGGTGTTGTACCTACTGCTTCTCTCTTCAGTTCTGCTGATTTTATTATTGCCATTTCTCCCTTCCAGACCCTCTCTGCCCTCTTTGTATTGCATCCAGCTATTATGTCCTTGCTGGCCATTTGTCTGGCAAGAGCTTTTTCTGTGACGCATATTATTATTTCCACAGGAGGAAATAGATATCTAAGAATATTGGTAAACCTGTGCCCTGTTCCTAGTATTGCTCTGGAATTGAGCAGTCCTATGTCAGCTACATTAATTTCCCTAAAATATGCCCCCAAAAGGGTAGTTCATATGAGATGAAAGAGGTAAAAAGTCTTATTCCAGCCCTGCTGTTCTCTCTCTGCCTTTTAAATCAGGTCTCCTCTACATTGAATTGAGGCAGCTTAGGTAGACAGCCCACCCTCTGGAAGATAAAGGGCTAACTCTGGTTTTCAAGCACTCACCTGGATCCTTTCTGGGAGTCAAAAAAAGCTAAACTGACTTTTTGCTTTGCCTGGTGCATGTAAAGTCAACAGCAAGTGCCACAACAAGGACACTTTCTAGTCTTAAGGAGCCTGCAGGCTGGGCTGGGACACGGAGAAGGTAGCAGCAAAGTAAGGAGTGAAGACACAGCCCTTCAGGAGGATGGGCAGTTCCCCAGGCAGGGAGAGCAGTTCTGGTGGCCCTGCTGGGCCTGTGGCACAGCAGCTGGGGTCACGCCCTCATGTGAGCAAATGAAGGTGTTGGTGATAGATAAAAAGCAATATGAGTCAAAGGTAGAACTAAGTTTGTGTCATTGGTTTCATTGCCGATCCCAAAACTTGCAGGAACAATGTGGGAGGTTTTCCTGTTAGTTTCAGAAGAAGATTTATAGCATAAGCTCTCCTTTCTCTAGGAATGAGGGACAAACTGCCTGACCTCAAACCTGTTAATGTTTTTTTTCTTAGTAGCTTACTCTTTTGTTTTAAAGAGAGCTCTAGCCTTGCACTTTTGTATTGCTATTTGGTAGATGAAATAAGAAATCAGACCCATGGCATACGGGTAGCTGCAGTGTTTGTCAAAACATAGAAAGCAGCTTTGACCTCTCTGCAGCCTTTTCTTCCCTCTGGGCTATAATTCTAATAAATAATTTTTGCAGCAGTTGAGGAAAATAATATCTTGTTCTGCTTCATGAATATATTCTCTCTTCTTTTTTTACCATAAGGGGTTTAGAAATAATGGAGTGAATTTACAGCAGGGCATTCCCTATTTCACAGGTACAAATCAAAGTAAGTACACATCCAGCTACCTGCCTGCCTGTATAAATCACGTAGATTACAAGCACAACTGGTCAATTAATTCCACAGGTATAAGATAAGCACACGGAGCTGATGCATTTCTATTCTGAACAAACCCTTGCACATGGCTCAGCTTCTGCCTGAGCAAGGACCAGTGGGAGCAGTAAGCTTGTTCCACTGGGTTTCCTTGGCTTTCCTAAAATTGCCAAGATTACCCATGTGCATTGCAACAGAGATGACTAAACCTGAAGCTGTTCCAGAAAATAACATTCAACCAGCTTTGTGTTCGGCCTGCCTGCTGAGGGAGCATTATCCTGGCATCTCTGCAGTGTTGTCTGTGGCTTTGGGGCCAGACAACTGTACCAACAAGTTTCACTTGCTGGTCACACTTCGTCTTGCCTAACTGCTCTACTTTACACTCAAAAATTTCAGATGGCAGAGGCTGAAGTGTGCTCTGCAGATATGAAAAAAAAGGCAGACTCCTACACCACTGATACCCAGGCAAATGTGGGGAATGGGTTACACTTATCAGCAGATCCCACACCCTGATACAAGTGGTGGAGAGAGGCAGGGAAACCCCAGCTTTAGGGTTAATGCTACCATGGAAGTGTAAGCTATGTGAGACAGATGCCAGGGCTGTGTGGGGATCTCCACACCACCTCACCACTGTTTCATCCCACCTGGCCAGTCACTGATGTTTTGGAGCATGGTCAAAAAGTACCCAAAATCCAAGTTATGAACGTGAGATGGCAGGGGCAAGGATCAGTGGCACTTCAGGGCAGAGATCTTTTGTGTTGAAGACGTACACCTACATGCATTTAGGTGTTTGAGCCTTAGGAGAGGTATTTCTCACTGCTCATTTGCTAATGTGCTCCTTGCTGCAGAGTCTGAACATGCCAGAAGCAGAAGAGATATGCACAGAGCCATCATTTGCAGTCCCTGAGAAGTGCCTTCTGTCCCAGAGAGTCTGTAAATCCCAGCTTAGGTATTAAAATACCCTGTTACAATACCAAAGCTTTTCATTAGCCAGGCAGCCAAATCTTGAAGATTATAAACTCACATCAAAAAGAAAGTAAAAACTGCATCTCCTGCCAAGCCCAAAGCCTCATCTGCTTGGCCCAAATTTGACTTAATTGTGTGGGGTTTTCAGCAGAGAGCTGAATCTGACTGAGAGTAAATGCTATGAATGAAAGTCACCAGCCCCCTCCTTTAGTAATTTAAAAATACAAATCCATTGTACTTATGAGTCCTTATTGAAAGGAAATAACCAATATTTTTTTTCATGTTTCTGTTGACAGCAGTTCTGCTGACAGTCTGCTGCATGAGGAGGAAGAAAAAGACATCTAACCCAGAAAACAACCTGAGCTATTGGAACAATGCTATTACCATGGACTACTTCAATAGGCATGCTGTAGAGTTACCGAGAGAGATCCAGTCCCTGGAGACTTCAGAGGTACCTCATTTGCAGAACTAGTAGCTGGAAAGTGTAACTGAAGCCATGCTGGGAGAAGGAGCGAGGAAGTCCTATGAATAAAGCCTTGAAATCCCTATGCATATTTAGGGAAACTTCTTTTTGAGAAGGACCCACTCCCACATGTGTGTAAGATGGGATGAATATGTCACCAAAACCAGATTGTAGCTGTTGCAGGTACTTTCCATATTGCTGAGAGGTCATGGGAATTAACCACCTCTACGTGAATTTGTTCCCAGGTTTCTCATCCTTTTGAGACTATGGCCAATGTCTAGCCATAGCATGAATGCTTAGGAGAACTTTTTGGGCTGGCTTTTTACTGACAGTCAGTCCTTCTCGTCTGTCTATTGTGTATGTCCCACACAGCATTGTGTAAGAGGAGTGGTGGGAGCTAATAATGCAAATAAATGTTGTGCATTTATGTCTCAGGAGATGCCTATAGCTTCTCAAATACCAATTCAGGGAGTGAGTGTTCCCAGTATATAAGCAGTCAAAACAACAATATATGAGAGTGGGTAGTGGTGGTGCTTACTCATCAGCCTTTACTAAAGAGATCTGACTGGTTCAGTGGGATTCTTCATATATGGGCAGGTGGTGCTAGTGATAGGAATGTATCCCCTGGCCTCGGAGATAGAAAAGAATAATTTAGCTTAGTTCAAAGGTATTTAAAACCTAGAAACAATGGGTTTATGCTAAAAGGATTTTCAGATCAGATAGCTGACTAAATAATCTCATTAAATTAGGAAAAGAAAAGTTTTTTAAAAAGGAACCTCTGAGATGTGGTAAGACAAGCACTCACAGTAATTGCATTAACCCCACTTGGCTGGCAAACACATTGCTCAGGCTAAGGCAGAACCTAGTCTAGGCTTACCAAGAATATAGGGAATATAAATCTAGGGAATATTTATATTTACATGTATAAATGTACATATATCTATTTACATACAGGGAATATGTGAATAGGCTTATCATTTGATTCATTTGAGTCATTTAAACCTGATCAGAACACAACTGAATAGGGGCATACTTGGCTAGCTTGGAACTATATAGGTGGTTTTCTGACCTTAAACAGAAGCTGAAAATGCATCTTTGAGGAGTCAAGCCCAGCTGATAGACAGAAAACTGTTGCAGTGCATCACAAAAGTGAAGAAAAGACGAAACGTGAAAGTTCAGATTCTACTAAGGGACATGAAGTTTGGTGCATCTGACTTCTGGGTCCCCAGGCTGAGAAACAATCAGCCTGATTATCAGAGGAGGTCTTCATTCTTGGCTCCTACTGCCTGAAGAAGGGCAAAACAGGCTCACCAAATTTAGCTCTCCAGGAGCCAGAGCTCCCGAAAATTTAGGCACTTTTGGAGGACTGGAAGAAGTGATAAAAATAGCAGTCCATTCCTCACATGAATGCACAGCAGAGTGCCCTGTGCGCTCGTGGAGGGCAAGAGGTGTGAAGTGCTCACCACCTTGCTTCTCTTGTGTTTCTCCTAGGACCACCTCTCAGAGCCGCGATCTCCTGCCAATGGCGACTACCGTGACAGCGGGATGGTCCTTGTGAACCCCTTCTGTCAAGAAACACTGTTTGTAGGACATGAGCAAGTCTCTGAGATATGACCTCATAGCTGCCCACCACCATGTATTGCAGTTTCATCTCTACTGTCTCCAAATTATAAATAAATATATATATTCTAAATATAACCTTTGTGTAACCCTGAATTACAAGAACTGTTTTCAGCTTTTCCTTTCTCCCTCAGAGTTGTCAGCCCCTTTTTTATAAGTGTGGTAAAACTTTACAGAACAAACCGTGGCTTTATAAAATAAAGGTATTTCTAAGCAAAACAGAAGGACTGTTTTCTTCACTGTCATTTACAAACTGTTGCTAAATGTACTTGGTCTGGAAGAATATTGGATAAGGCTGGTTTTGAGCAGGTAATGTGTGTTGAGTAGAGCAGACTGCATCACATCACTCAGCCTGGCAGTGAGCATCCCTGCTCAGCAACCATCCTGTCTCCTACTGTAAAATGACTTTGGTCACTCTTTTACTTCTGACAGCCAAGCTAGGGTACAGATCAGGCAGCACTAGCTCAACTGCCAGCAGCAGTCCAGATGGCTCGTGTGCCTGTCTTGTATCCTGTGTGTGACTCCAGCACCACCTGAACACTGACTGGGATGAGCCCTTCAGAGTTCCCCTTCCAGCAGAAACAAGCCAGGGTCTGCCAGCTCAGCAGGGATAGAGCAGAGAAGCTGAGCTGCAGTGGGATAATAAACAAACCTGATGCATCCATGGGATCCAGAGCCACACAAGACATGGGCAAACCCATTGTGATAGTAATGTACCCTATGACTTAAAGTTACCCCCTTCAGTCTTATACAGGAAAGCCAGGTTCCAGTTTGAGCTCCAAATCTGTTCTACATGAACAAGGACAAGAATGACTTCTTTTTCCTGCAGAAGTGCCCTAACCACACTACATGCTGAACTCACAGCTGCTCCGCTCCAGCCTAGTGAGTTCTGGATAATTTCCTGCAGAGCAAACAGCCCCAAAAGAAGGCATGTAGAGTTTCCCCTTCAAAGGTACAAAAATCTCCTTTGAATTGATCAGAATTCTTCAAATCTGGTGACTAGAGACTCCCACCAATTGAATGCTCAGGCTTGACTGTATTTCCATTTCCCTGCTGTTTTATTTATCTTAAGTGTCACTGAATCAAGTTTCCTCATACCCCCCTTTCCTCTCTGAGACTTTCCTTCTGCCCTTAGGAACAAAAATGTCTTGTTTTCAGAGCAAAATGGCGTTTCAGTCCCACCCAGTTAAGCACTAGATAGGAGTCTGTAATATCATTAGGGGAATAACAGGTGTGAACAAACCTTAAATGATGAAGTGAAAAAAGGTCATTACAAGGTGAGGCTAATGTGGAACATGGAATGATTTAGCCCAAATGCTTTTTATTTGAGCAACTCAGAACTGTTACTGTTGTGGGACCAATTTTCAGTTTGGCTTCTCAAATTGCCTTTTTTTGTATCGTTCAGCAAGTGAAATGTCCACTGTCCTTTGAGGCCTTGGCCACCCTCTTCCCCACCTCTGCCCATCAGTCCTTATAGATTATTTTCTACCTTCACTCCTCACTTCACCAGGAGCAGGCTGTGAGGCAGCAGGGAGTTTATCCCCTGCTCCAGCTGGCTGCTCAGTGCCACTGGCTGCTCAGGTTTACCGCTTGGTTGCACAAAAAAGGAAGATTGGGCAGGACAGGGTTAGTGTAGCATCATTAACTGCATGCCTTGTTCAAAGTGAGCCACAGCTGGTACCAGAAAAGGGAGTTAGAGCAGGGGCACATCTTGTCCAGCTGTTCCCACCTGCTAGCAGTGGTCCCAGTGGCTGCTGTTAGAGCAACCTGACAACTTTACTAAATGATGCCTGGAATCAGACCAAGACATGAAGCATTGTTGCCCCTGCTTCTCCCTGTCCCTTGTGTGCACTTCTACTGCGCTGAGGCACAGATCTGAATGAGGGGGCTACAGGCTTCCTAAAATTAGAGAATTGCAATGTTACAGGGGCTCTTCTGGATGTTTGATTTTCTGCTCAGAGAGTAAACTGCTGCTTCTTTACGAGGTGACAGGGACATACAGGAAGATGTAGCAAACGTGGATGGGCACACTGGGAATATATCTTTTCACCATGGGATAAATGCTGCACAATATGATATCTACAATCCTCATCATCAAATAGTAAAGGGCCTCCTGGAAATCACTGGTTGATTATAGAGTGAAAACTTCCTGAAGGTTTTGCCAAGAGTGAAAGCAATCCCATGAGGGCCTTCATCTTCTGTTTCAACTAGGAAGTGGAAACTAAATAAAAATCTTTGCAAATATGCATATTTTTACATTTGTTTTCCCTA